ATTAATGGAAAAAAACGAATGAGAATGGTAAACGTGTAATTACATTGCATTCAACAAAGGGGGCTATAGTAAGGTCAACTGAGGAAGTCCTTTAGTAGGAAATATTTTCCACAAAATGTGAAAATGTGCTGTAGTTTACGCTTTTCTTATTCGCACTTCTTGAAAAATGTAGAATTAAGAAATGAATTTTTGTCAGATATTTTATATAGATATCGAACAAACTGATGGTGACTATGGCTTCATGGTTGTTAGAACAATATCTAAAAGCTTCACGGTAATTAACAAAGCAGTGCCTTGTGAGCAATGGCATCTGAATGTGTCTGGAACAGACATGATACACGTATAGTGAAAATGACTGGAACTGTTTCCAATGCAGGCGCAGGCACACTGTCAAGTTTAAAGTAAATAAACATCTCTGCTGCTACGTGATAAGCACAAGATTACACGTAGTCCCCGCACTGATAATGTCAACTAGTGGTGTAAGACTTTTTAACGCAATGTCTGGGCTAAGGTACAAATAAACAGGCAAAAAAATTCTGCCATTATACACGTCAAAGCCCTTACTCTATGGACAGCTTGCAAAGTGCATCCTCAAGTCTTGGTCTTGTGTTAATTCATCATTGGCGCAATTTACTACTTATTTACAGGCGATTAGATTTGATTAAAAAAAAACACTAGTCCAGAGTTGGAGAGTGTCCTGGGTCGGTGCTGTCCCATAAACAAAGGTGAAACAAAGAAAAAAATAAAGAGTGGGGAATGCTCTTTCGAAAAAGGATATTTCCTGGCCGTTACAAATTGAAAGAGTTGACCGATTTTATAATTTTGTACGCACATTCCATATCCGCATTTATGTCCTCATACCGTTAACTCAGATGTGTTCAATTTCAATATCACAGAGCGGTTTTGGAAACCCATCCAGCACACACACACCACCTGCAACACTTATTAGGCTGTTTAACCACGTTTATTTAATATTTAAATCCATCTCAAGTCGACGTTCAGGCGAGACAAAGCGTGCACAGGATGTGAAATAGACCGGCTGTTTACCAAGTGTCCTATCATAAGAGAGACGGAGTACACGGTGTGGTCGCTCCATTTTAGGTAACACTCATACAAGCAGTAAATTATTCTTGTAGCCACTTTTGTTTTGTGGTGTCTTCCACAAACTGCATACCGCCACATTTATATTTTCCCCTCGAATTCTTGCTCCTCCGATCTGTTATAGTTGTTGCCAATGTCCGGTGTCTGATGACCGTGAGTTGGTAATGTCTGGCCACGGGGCGATATCGACAAGATCACGGGGAGATGGACCGGACAAGCACTGTGCGAAACTGCTGGAGCTCTCGTGGAGTTTTATTATACCGTTAGAAACGCCTGCGGTTAACCAGTGCTCGGAAAATTAAATCATATACCTCTACTTTCACATCAGTTTTAATCGGTTCAATAGGATGTGACAGGTGGATAAACTTTTATCGAATCCCCTTCTCATAGTTTCCAAGGAAAGCCCTTGACCACATCCACAGGGGCAAGTGAATGCCATTAGATCAATACCATTCAGAGTATTATTTTCCTGTTGGTATCGATATTTTCTCAGTAAGTTGCGTTTGTGGGGTTAATGCAGCGAAGAAAACAACAAATTTATCGTTCCTTTGGCCGCATTATGAACTGTTTTCTTCACACGTTTCTGGACACATTTGTTTAGTGTGTGCCCTACCGAGCCATGCCACTCCGTGATTAAACGGCAGCATGTGTATTTCTCTGAGTCTCGTGGAAGGATAGGGGATTGTTGGTTCACCTTGTATTTAAATAGAAATACCCCCTTGGCCAGTCAAAAACTTGTCTGTGTTTGTGAGGATTTTTCATTGCGAGAAAATATCTGATTTGAGGGCATTTCTTTATCAAAGCTTGCTTCCTTTGGAAATGATTAACGTGAGAGGCAGTGGCGTACGGGGGGGGCTGGGGGCACTTGCCCCCTACAAATTCCCAGTGCCCCACAGGTGCCCCCAAGGTGCCCTCTCACTAAAATACAGATGAATGGAAATTGAGCAAGGCTAAAGAATGCTTGCCCCCCCAAAACCACACCCCTGAAAGCTGGTGCCCCCCATAAGATCCTGGTGCCCCCCTTGTGACCCCACTAGTAAAATCCGAGCTACGCCACTGGTTAGAGAGATTTCGGGTGTCATAATAGATACTGCCTCTTAAAAGCACTTGTTCATCATTACATGTATAGCGACACTTCGTTCTCTGGGTTTAAGTTACCGTGTCTAATCATTGGTGTGGAAATGATAACACCATTTGTTATTCCTATCGGAGGATTGGTACAAAAGTATATATGTTGGGGGAATTCAACTGTGCATAGTAGAGGGGATATGCAGGGACATGTATAGGGAGCGAGGGAATGGGCCCTAAGCGATTGAGGAGACAGTGGCTGAGTATTAGTGATGTAACTCATTCTTAAGATGGAATTGGGAGCATTATTTTTTCTGGAAGTTGAGCACAAAAAAATTCCCTCACATTCAAAAGGAACAACCTCCAACTCCCTAAAAACGACAGAAACAATGTGGCATTAACATAATCCCCGGTTTGTATATCAGCACATGTGTAAATAACATTTGGCAGATTATATGATATATTGTTGTTGAATTTTATATGTCACAACGGCCCTTCTACCCGTCACAAACCGGGTTCAAAATATATAGATTGATCACTTTTTTTTATCTCCACTCACTGACAACAAAGCCACAAAAAAGAGAAACTTTCAGGAACTGGTGGTAATCTATACAACAAAAAAGTAAAAATAAATTTGTTATTATTTACAATCTTCACAAAATCCTTGATAGAGCTTGTGAGTTTGGTTTTCAAGAGTTTACCCCAAACTAAAAATACATTAATCCCATCATTACAAATTCATTATACGATATTACTATCTCCCACATGGGTACTCATGCATGTCCTCCAGCGTGTCGTCGCTCCACCGGCTGAACGCTCTGGGGATCTCCGCCGATTTGATAAGGTAGTGTGTTCGCAAGTCCCCCTTTCTAGGTCCTCCGTTCCCGCGACGCTATGGTTCTTTTTGGGGTAACGGGGCAGCCTCTCCCTCAAAGAGGAAGATTCTACGACTGAAACTCCACTAAAGGGAGTCAGTTTTAAGACAAGCGAACAGCCTTAAAGTCTGACTCCCTGGCTTGAAACAACGATCGGTTTCCGTAGACTAACTTCTCAACTGTGGATTTAGCTTTCCAAGAAGTGGATTTCACTTCTTAAGCATTAAGTGAAGCTAACGCTTTCCAATGAAGAAAATATATGATTTGGGCTATCGCCACAAACTATCTCTGTTTCTCAAATTATCTCATAGAGCTATCGCTCAATCGACGAAATCAAAATGTGCTATAGCACGATGACCGATCAGGAGTCTCCCTATGTCAAGATCTGTCCGTTGCCTCTCCAATGCTTCACTACGATTTTAACCCCGCAGAGATCATGCTAATTAATCTAAACGTCATGCAAATTTCGAAATTCCACTCGGTTTCAAATTTTTCCCGCGTCAACCGTATTTGGTCATATTAGTAAAAAAAAAAAGTGCATTCCTCCCGTGTTACTATACGTAGGAAGGTGGGTCCTGAAATATGCTGAATATTCATTGAACATGTGCCAAGGTTTTACGCCCTCCTGTGACATTACCCAACTCTGCTGATACCTCCTTCCTCCTGGACCTGTAAACGGAAGTTATCTATCCCTGTCGAAGTAGTTGTAAATAAGTCTAAGTAGTTTTATATTTGTGAAGCTGAAGAAATCAGCCCGAATGTCTTTTATTCACACGTTTCTAAGTTCTTGTCAAATTTGATTGATTGTGCTCTATTTTCTCACGCAGCCATTAGAAACTATCGGCTTTCGTGAATAGTATTTTGATATGTAAAATATTTGAAAAGTTGATTTCAAGTGTGCCTCCAAAAATGGACGGTGCACTATAAGTGTTTTGACAACAGTGTTCTATTATGACCAAAAACTGCATCTTTAAACTGGAATCAGATTTGACAGTTCACATTACGATGGACGACATGTGCCAATATCTATTTCAGGAAAAGTGGATTAAACCGCCACCCTGAATGCTGAAGTATACCAGGTTAGAAAGCTGTATCTGTGTATTTGTATATACTTTTGATGTCACTCTGCTGTCTTCTTACACAAAAACAGGAGCAGTGAATGATATTCTTGACTTAAACGTTAATAATTTAGTGCTCGTATTTCAAGATATCTTGTTAGGTTTTTGCAAAGAACTGCAAGCTTAATATTAATAGCATCAACATCTGTGATGCTGTATTACTAAGAGTTGAATTCCTGCCATTATGAGCATACCACATAATATGCCACAGCCTAATAATGTAGCATAAACATCTTACCTTAATATTTTGACTGTAGTTTATCACACTTTGATTTTTCTGAGGACGAGACTTTCGAATCTTTGTGCCCTGGAAGTTTTGCACCTTGTAACATGCATGCATAATGATTTGAAAGTAACTTATACCTGGTGGCGCCTGCGTGAATTTTGTTTTGAGAAGCCTATCCTTTAAAGGAAGGAAAGACAATCAAACGGCAAAGTTGGTAAAGCCAATTTTGGCCGATATGGTATCAGGTTAGCCTTAACGGACACTCCAACAAGCCGTTACCGAAATAAGAAAGGAAAAACTGAACCTTTGCAGTCGTAACAGATCGGTCGATGTCTTAGATTACAAGGTGATAGCCTGAATGCCTACGTCAACATGTAACGAAAATTTAATTACGGTGAATCTCACGCCTCCTCTAGGAATCCTCTTGGTTTCTCCGTATCTTATTTTGGGCTGGTTTGCAGTGCTGGAGACCGGACGTACGGAACCAGTCACTCTCTCTTGGGAACCTCACACCAAATAAAGAGTGATTGCTCATTCCTTGCGCAAAGCCACCAAGAAGGCATGCCGTCACATCGCAAAAGGGTGTACACTCTAGGACTTCATTCATGCAATATTAACGCTGGTGATTGCTCACCTCTGATAGCTGGGAGAGGTTGTAGTCGCTGAGCTTATAGTCTCCGAGCTGACAGGGGTGTTTTTGGGGAAGAAAATCGCTGTGTTGGATACTGTGTCATTTTGGGCATTACACAGCGTACCGCCGATGGAGCCATCCCGTGACGAAGTGTTTCGTAAAGTCTTTCAGGAGTTCATGATAAACCAATCAGTGTCGGTTCGGCGACCCCTCGTGACTTGACGGATTGCTTTTTGCCACATGCCGTGATTTGCCGGTGCACTGTGTGCCGACACCGCGGCCGCGGTGTCCGACTACTATAAGAGCGGCCTCGCTGACTAAACTCCCACCAGTTTCCGCAGTGAGCCGTTTTTCAAAGGAAATCCCATGATTGAGTGCGCGCACATCTGCGTCGACACAACCTGAACGAGTTTGGATTTGGAATAGGTAAACGCGTAGGACGACATTGTGCACATCTGCCAAGTGATTTTGTTTCTTGTAGGTGAGTGTGTTTCCATGCTTTGAATAATTTCTTACAAGGATATGGTTACATTGAATTATTTGCGCCAATTTATCATGAATAGGATTTGGAGTAGTTTGCTATAAGCGGACGATGTTCCGCTGAAGGTTCTAATGTATGTAGGTTGACCGTAAGAAGTAAAAGCGCGCTAACAGTTTCAAAACGGCAATGGTAGAATTTTTAACTCAGCATGTCCAACAAGCCGTCGAGTACGCTAAATTTGTGCATTGCACTCTCGAACTTCCAAAGCCAGATTGATCCAGAGAGCAGATGCCCGGTGAAGCTGAACCTTTTCCGGGTCAGAAATTACCGTTTTCTGGGTTATTTTTGACCAAGAAGAGTCAAACCCAAGGGATTCGCAACATGGGCCAGACGTGGATGTAGACATCAATTACATTTACAGATTAACGTTAACAGAGCTGATTCAGTAAAATCGCAGGTGTCGTTTCTGGGGGAAACTAGATGACAGACTCTGTTGCCCCTGATATTCCACGATATGTCATCAAAATGAACTAATATCGACTAACTTTTTCTGTCTATGCAACGCTGCGTTTCGCGAAGAGAGTTAATTGAATTCGCCCTTGTAGGTCCACGTAGGACTTGTGGTTCATCTGTCATGGTCTGAACAGATAAATCCGCCAACATGTTGAAGACGCCTCACTTCGTGCACTTTGTAATCTCCCCGAACCGTTGGTAATGAGATGGCATTGAAATAAACGACTGACCCCCTGAAAAGGGGGATTTGTAGGGAATTATTTAAAATATTGTCCGAATAAAGTGTACATCAGTCGTGACCCAGCTAGTTAATCCACATGGTGCTATGAACAATAGTGCGTGTCAATAGCGAAGCAACAGATTCCCAGTGAGCGCGCGATGAGATGGGAGCCCTGATCCCCCGCGAATGTTAGTCTGTTATGTACCCCCAGAAAGCGCCGTCCTTTATTTTGTCTGCCACAAAGTCAGTTTACAATATATGTGGGCTGGTGTAAAAAAGAAAACAAAAGTTGTACTTTTAAGGAATCTGTCCCCGTTTATTCCTCGTGTGTATACTGATTAATCTCTGCTCTAATTTGGTCTACTGAGCCATGCGCAACACCCCCGAGGAGTCCACATTTTACAGGGTCAACATTTCACCCCACACCAGAATGCCCTAGCTCTTCTCCACTGGATAAATTATTCTACCTTTAAATGCTCAAATCTCCAGGATATCCCTGTATGAAGTCAAATTATTTTTGTCTAAACCAATTTGGCTTTGTATGTCGATGGAGTAGTCTATCTGGTCTGTAGACGCCACAGCGCCGCTGCCATTCACAATTATTAGGCTGTGTCAGAATTGCCAGTATGTTCGGAATGAACTCCATGATCTCCAGTACTGCCGACAGCAAATACTCTCCCGAAGAAGTATTCTTGAACCATGAGGGCTCTTCAAAATCGATCTTAGCTGAGAAATTGGATTGTGAAACTGGTCGCTTTCATTAGATATACCATTAATTATCCTGCTTGCTGCACCACGCTTGCGTTAAAGGTGGCCCCGAAGTCACTTGCGTAATAAATCATCGCTTATGGCGGGGAGAGGTGGAAACAACCTGATACAATTTCGAGATAAAATACGATTAGGTTGCAAATGACCCTAGACGTAGCGCTGCCCGCCGACTGCAATGACCCCAGAGGCGGCCAAATAGGTACTGATTAGCAATACGATAAACCGCGCCATTGAGATATGAAAACATGCAAAGGGCGTTTTCCTGCATTTTTAACAGGTGCATTTGTCCTTCCCCTGTATTTTTGTCTGCATTTTATGTTGCTTTTTGTTCATATCGATTATATGTTCATATAGACTTTCAGTTCGCTATCGTGATTTCTCAGTATCGAGTACAAAACAGGCCCCTTGTACAGTTGTTTCGCTAAAACCGCAGCGCTTTTGGGGTCAAAGTCACGGTGAAGCATCATGAACGTAATCAGTTTCGTCTTGGGGTATTCAAAATCTGTCCTGCTCAGCCTTTTGTTTGGTTAGAACCATCACCCGTGCCGTTACTTGTCTGGAAATTTTGTCTCAAGTAACTGCGCATTACACTCAGTACGTATCCATGTGTCCCGCGTTTAAAATATCACTTGTCTGTTTACTTTTTGCCAAATGTTGCCCCTAAGGAAGGTTCAAAGTTTACCCAGTACCCATAATTATCATGTGGGTAAGTTTAATTTGTGTACCATTTGTGTTTTGGACAAATGCAAATCGGCCTCACCAAAGCATACTGGTAATGGTAGCTTTATATCCAATCGAAAGATTTCCCTGTTTCCTTTGCTGAAAGCATACCTCGGCCTTTTCCATTATAAACGCAAATAAGGAAATCAGTGAACTATATGCATCCCGAAGAAATGATTAGTGAGAAGATGGTAATATCCCGTTCACATAAAAAAATCAGACAAAATAAAAAACAAAGCGGGCAAACATAATCTTCTCGGTCCGACAGGTGGAATTTTACGGTTCATAAAATGTCCCAAGGCGGAATTTCTGGTAACACTAAGAAGAAAATTATTTGGGAGCTGACTCTTAACCTTTTCTGACAGAAACCATGCACGACCTCCACTAAATGCATTCCAGCGTTTGCTGAAGCGTCTTTCAGATTCAATGGACCGGAGTAATTTGCAGCTGTATTGGTGCGCGTGGCCTCGGCGAGACGCCTCTCAGAATTTTGTCTCCCTTTAATGTTAACGCTCAAAATAATCGATGAAAATATCCAGACCATCTTCTCTGCTGTTGACTACTCTACGCCGAAGTTCTGCACTATTTAAACCACGCAGCTTCAATTTCACCCCTCTTTTATGGGCGTCGTTTCACCACGCCTCATCACACTACACGTGTTTCAATTTTCCGAGCATAGTTTCAATAACAGCTACTGCAAAGTTTGCGGGACATTTTCTAGGCTATTACCCACAGCGCACCGCATACATCACACCCGTGGCATGCGTGCATGGAATGGTGAAATCAGTGTGCGATAGCAAATTTTGAACACCATGCTCTCTTTGTTCCACGCTTTAGATGGTAGCAGCGATCAATTTTTCTGAGACACAGTTTTTCTGAAACTATGTACCCTTCTATTGTATGAACACTCTTTTACACTCCCATTTGGTTAAATGCTTTGTAAGTGCACTTTTGTAGACACTTAAAACTATACATGCTTTCCTGGACAACTGACTGCGCTGTTGCTGTGATATCATCTAGGGAAGACATAGTTCAGTGCATAGGGTTTTTTAAATTAAAACCGTAAACCCAGAATTTTGTTACTGAGGACATTTCTGAGAAAAGCACTGGTGCTCACTTAGGCCTATTGCTGTACACATTATCAACAACGAATCGGCAAAGAAGAAAAATTTAATCCAGCCAAATCTACAAAATATGCATGACTCTTTGTATACAAATTAAAGTAACATTTAGCCTTTCTTCCTTGGGTGACATCACAGTTTTGTTCATTAATACGGAAATCTCAATAGCATAAAAAGCAAAAAAGGCAGCAAAATACCCTTTTATGAAAATGAGCTTAACTGAAACACAAACGTGCATTTGAAGGTCTGTATTAAAATAAATGTATTGCAGCTACCCTTTAACCCATTGTGCAATAAGTCAGCAAATCCATTATTTTTCATAGAGACCGCATTTGACGTTTTAGGCCTATATCAGCTTGCAGTTAGAGTAAGTTATACTCAGCGCGTTTGATTACTTCCCAACCCACGCTAACTTGGGTAAGCACGACTGCGTTGGATTTGAGACCCAAGTGACATTTTGCGCTTATCGGACCTGGCCCAAGTAACCGACCCGCTGAGTCGGTTACTCTGGTAAGTATCCCTCAGTGCCTTCCAAAAACACGAGGGCTTAGTTGAACGATGCTAAGAAGAGTCGATCCTGTTGTAACTAGTTCAGAAAAATAATTGTATGAGGAGGTAATGCTGTAATACCGGCCGATAATGTTAATAATCGGCCAATAATGTAATACTGGCAGATAATGGGATAGAAATCGACCGAAATGACGGTTATTACATTATCTGCCTCGGTGTTACTGCATTGTCACCGGTTTGGGGTTATTACATTATTAGTCGACCAATTTTTTTTAACATTATCGGTCGATTTCTATTACATTATCGGCCTGTATGATATTACGGATCGATTTTTATTAAGGTATCGGCTAGTATTATGTTATCGGCTGATTATCACATTATCGGCCTAACAAATGCCCACGTCAAGTGAGTAAAAGGTTTAATTTTCATAACGTGCTGACCCAATGGGTATACCTTGAGTAATACGAAAACGTTAATTCATTCTAACGTTTTGCGCATGCCCAACTTTCCCTGATTGGACAGGCACGAATAAGCGTGGCTGGATAATCGAAAACGCTCACTTTGATCTTCAAAGGAAGTAAGTCTGTGACGTCTGAAACTTAACTTTGTTCCGCCGCTTTCCGTGCAACGTTTAACTGCAGACCCCTTTGTCCGAAATGTCGTCCGATCTTATCAGAGTTCTGCCACTGAAATCCTCATAACAATCGGTCCACTGCTTTCAGATCCAACAAAAATAATGCCGTCAGGTGAGCAAGCCAAAAATTACATTACTGAGATTGAAAAGCAAGATTCGAAGCTTAGTGATTAAATTGCAATAAAGTCGCAGACGCTGCACGCAGGACGTCTGAAGTTGACAGGGAAGCTCCTATAGATACGTCTGTCAACGCAGACGGAATGGGACGAGTTAACCATCCGTGAAACTGTCAACTATCTGCCTTCCTTGCGATAAGATTCTGTTCCTTCATTTCCGTGAGGGGTGGTTTCAAATTCCCCCTCGAAATGTCATTTTCTCTTTTTTGCCATCTTCAATATCTAAAGCCTTTTGAGCTGGTTGCTTTTATTTTGCATCTTCTGATTTTTTCTCAGCTTTTGACCTAATTTTTCCCAGAATCTAAAACCCACTGTAACCTCCTTTTCACAGCGAAAGA